TCTGTATTCTCTTCCTATCGCTTTTGGCATGTAACATAATATACTCACAGGTTAAGGGCATGAGCATTCTTTAAGAGGCCATTATTCTGCCTACACAGTACCTATTCTTCTGAGATGATTTGGAGAAATCCCTCACAGCAATATGTCTGCATTTATTTTGGCTATAGTATTAAGTTTTGTTTGAACAGTAAAGAAACTAGACATTCTTTGAACAGGTATTATGAACCAAACCTTACTAGTTAATAGAAAAAAAGGTTGACTATGGGTTTACAGGAGGGAAAGATCTAAGATAGACAATCAGTAAATCTTGTAAGTAGAATGAAAACAGGCAATCGATGATACAGGAGCAATGCAGCTGTCTATTTTATCTAGCAGCAAAGGAAAATGGGGTTGCACAATTACTGTATTTTGCGTTATTCCAAGTATGAGGTTTTCCTGAAGCCTATTAAATATTAGTAGTCTCCTATTAAAAACACAAGATAATCTCCTATTTTGCACAAAACTGAATTTATTTTGTTTGAAAGTAATTTAAATTCAAATAAAAATTTTAAACAAACATTTTTGAAAAGTAATTGAAAGAGATTATGCTGAGTGAAATAAGTCAAGTAGAGAGAGTTAATTATGATATGGTTTCACTTATTTGTGGAACATAAGAAATAACATGGAGGACATGGGGAGATGGAGAGGAGAAGGGAGTTGAGGGAAATTGGAGGGGGAGATGAACCATGAGAGACTATGGAAGCTGAAAAACAATCTGAGGGTTTTGAAGGGGGAGGCGGGAGGTTGGGGGAGCCTGGTGGTGGGTATTATGGAGGGCACATATTGCATGGAGCACTGGGTGTGGTGCATAAACAATGAATTCTGTTACACTGAAAAGAAATTAAATTCAAAAAAATGAAAAAAAGTAATTGAAATTCTCTTTTAAAAGTTTTTCCAACAAAAAAAGAATCACCGATTTTCAAAATTTTTTAGCTAGTAAGTTGACTAAAATTAAAAATCAATTCAATAGGGGCGCCTGGGTGGCTCAGTGGGTTAAGCCTCTGCCTTCGGCTCAGGTCATGATCTCAGGGTCCTGGGATCAAGCCCCGCATCGGGCTCTCTGCTTGGCAAGGAGCCTGCTTCCCTTCCTCTCTCTCTGCCTGCCTCTCTGCCTACTTGTGATCTCTGTCTGTCAAATAAATAAATAAAATCTTAAAAAAAAAATCAATTCAATAATACAGAATTTTATTGTATTTTATTTATTTTTAAGATTTTACTTATTTATTTGACAGAGATCACAAGTAGGCAGAGAGTTAGGCAGAGAGAGAGAGAGAAGCAGTCTCCCCACTGAGCAGAGAGCCCAGTTCGGGGCTCGATCAGGACCCCGGCATCATGACTGGAGCCGAAGGCAGAGGCTTAACCTACAGAGCCACCCAGGCACCTCAATAATACAGAATTTTCGAGAGTCTACTACTTGCTAGGTATCTATGCTAGATCCAGAGGATACAAATATAAATCCATTTGTTATACTTCCCGCCTACAGGAAACTCATAGTCATTATTCCAAGGTCTTGTAGGTCAGAAGTCCAGGCCTATAGGGTTGGTGACCACTGAATACAGTGCTGGGCAGCCAAGGGCTCTAGGAGAAGCAAGCACAATGGAAGGAATGATCTACTCTATGAAGCAGTAAGATAAGCCTTTTCTGGGTTTTCTTTTGAAATTTTTGAAGATTTAATTTTTTTAGGGAAGTTTTAGATTCACAGAAAAATTGACCAGAGGATACAGAGATTTCCCTTATCCCCTCTTCCCTATATATGCATGGCCTTTCCCATTATCCCCATCTGCCAGAGTGGTACATTTGTTACAATTAATGAATCTACACTGACACATCGTAATAAGCCCAAGTCCATAGTTTGGGTTCACTGTTGGTGTTGCACATTCTGAGGGTGTGGACCAATGTGGTCCACCATCATAGCATCATAGAGAGTATGTTCATTGTTCTAAAAATCCTTTGGGCTCTGCTTATTCACTCCTTTTTCCCTCCAATCCTAACCCTTAGCAACCACTGGTCTTTTTACTGCCTCCATAGTTTTGCCTTTTCCAGGATGTCATGGTTGGAATCATACAGTATGTAGCCTTTTCAGATCAGCTTCTTTCACTTAGTAATAAGCAGGTTCCTCCACATCTTTCCATGGCTTGAAGCTCACTTCTTTTTATCACTGACTAATATTCCATTGTTTGGGTGTATCACAGTTACTTGTTCATTCATCTATTGAAGGACAGACATCTTGGCAGTTTCTAAGTTTTGACAATAATGGATAAAACTGCCATAAGCCCGATAAGCCTCTGTGTGTGGTTTTTGTGTGGATGTAAGTTTTGAACACCTTTGGATAAATACCAAGGAATGAGATTGCTGGATTGTATGGTAATAGTACATTTAGGTTTTGTAGGCGTTTCTGGTTTTGAAGGAGGCATAAACAAAGGCACTGAAGTACAAAAAGGCACAAGGTATTTGGAGAAGTCTATTGTGTTTGGGGAACATAACATATTCACAGGTTAAGGGCATAAGCATTTTTTAAGAGGCCATTATTCTGCCTACCACAGTACCTACTGTTCTAGAATTATTTCCTGGCATATCCCTCACTGGAGTGATTTGGAGAAATACTTCCCAGCAATATGTCTACATTTATTTTGGCTACAACGTTAAGTTTTGCTTGAAAAATAGAGAGACTAGACATTCTTTGAACAGGTATTATGAGCCAGACCTTACTAGTTAACAGAAAAAAGGGTAAAGAGCAAGGGGCCTGTGGTGAAGTTAAGGCTGGAAGGGTGGCGGGGTGGCAGCCAACCATGCCCTACATTTTATTCTGTGGAGATGAAGTGAGAGCAAAGACTTTTTAATCAGGGACAACACAGGATTGGATTTGTACTTTAGAAAGATTACATTGTCAGAACAGAAGAGAATGGCTCTGGCCTGGAGGTCAGTTATAGCCTGGAAAACCAGTCTGGATAAGATTGTGTCTTAAGGATTAAAGCCTAAATTAATGTGATGGAAATGGCAGCGCAGAGCAGTGGGAAGATGAGAGAGATTTGGCAGTAGGAATCATCAGACTTCACGATTGTTAAAGGCATGCGGGAAAACAGGGAGGGAAGGGAAAGGCAAAGAAGGAGAAGGAGGACTTGAGAATTATTTGAAGATTCCTGACACGGGAGGAAAATCTAGATATTTCATGAAGGCTGACTAAGTTAAGGAATAAAGGAAAGCAGGGGAGAATAGATAGCGACAAAGACTTTTCTGTTTGACCAAATTTTAGGCATCTGTGAGTCCTCCTCTCAGGTAGGCTGCCTGCCTGGGCCCTGTCTTTGGCTGGCCAAGTCCAGTTTTAGTAAGAATCCTGCTAGCTCAGTTTGGAGAGACCCTCCCACCCTTTCTATCTGACCACCCTTGATATCTAATCAAATTCCTCATCCCTCTCCTTGGATGTACGACCACACTGGCCTCCTCTGCAAGAATCCTGTGAAATTAGTTTAGCAAGAATCATTCCCACCCTTGATGTCCCCTCTTACTAATTTTCTATCCACTGACCCCTCTCACTCTGCTTTTCAGCTGTACATCTCCAGCTGTCTTTGTTGTATTTGTAGTTGAGCCTAATCTCTCTCTCCTACTGCAGTAGTCTTGACACCTGCAACAATCGCCCTCAATAAGGTCTTCCTTATAGTTTCAACAAGTGTAAGAATAATTTTTTTAACAATGGGGAGAAGCATCACTCCAGAACTAAAGTTACTTCCAAACATCTCTAAAGCTTAATTTGTTGCATACATTTTTTTAACTATCGTATAAATAAATAACATGACTGAACTATGTGCTTCAGGCATTGTGATGTACACAATCCAGCCATCTGTGCCCCAAGAGCCTAGCAAGATAACAAGATGGCTTCCTTGCCATAATTTAAAAATTTATATATACATATATTTACATATACACATATTTACATATATTTACATGTATAAATATGAAATATAAATATGAAATCCTCTCTATAAAAAAGAGAGATAGAGTAAACAGTTTAATACCCACTGTTTGACAGTTCATGCAATTACTTCCTTAAAGATTTTACAATAATCTTACAGGGTGCTAAAGCCTGGTGAGCTTTAAAGGAAAAGAGTCCAAGTCTTGGTAATATTTTGAGGTTGCAGTCTAGCACAGGTTACTTTTGTGTTTCCTAACCTCGATTTAAATGCAAGCTCAGTTCAAGAGAATAAAGGAAGCTGTTTTAACTACTTGCATTCACTGCTGTAGCCTGAAAGTTGCTTGACATATAGAGGAATGGGCATGGCTCTGTTCTAATAAAACTTTATTTTTTTATGGACATCGAAATTTGAATTTCATGTTATTGCACGTGTTCCAAAGAATACTTTATTTTCTTAACCACCGAAAAATGTAAAAGGCATTCTTAGCCCACAGACGTACAGAAACAGCCGACGGGCCATATTTGCCGTAAGGCTGCAGATGGTCATCTGGTATGTACAAAACGTCAGAATTCGAAAAATGTTAAGTGTGAAGTGTGGGACCTTTTGCAGGACATCCGTGGTAATGTTACAGGCCACCTTCCAATACGATGACACAAGTGGCAGCCGCGGTGGCCATGCCCAGAAATTGAGAAAGCAAGAGGGCTGAGCAGAGTGGTACGAGCACCGCCCCACGCCGCTCTCCACCCTCTCGGCCACCGGTAACGCGCGCCCAGCTCCGCGGATTGGACCGCACGCAGACAGGCTCCTCCCAGACGCCGAGGTGGAAGCCCGCAGGCAAACACACAGAAGAAAGCGACCCCTCCAGGCCCCACCCCGCCGCACCTCCCCCGACGCAAACGGCGCTTGCACGCACGCACGTCTCCCGCCCCTCGCTCACTCCGACTCTATTGCGCATGTCTGGGAAAGGGAGCGACTATTGACCGGGAGGCCCTGGCCGGAGCCGGGCGGAGGGCCTCCTCAGGGCGGGGCGGGTAGACACGGCCCGCGCGTGCGTCACTTCCGCTGGGGCGGGACGGAGCTGTGGGGGTGGTGCCTCGACCGCGGCTCTTCTGTTTGTGTTGGTAGCTCAGCTGATGCGGGCAGGCCAGAGTGGACGTCAGTGCGGGCCGGAGGCGCGTCCGCGCTGCCGCCCATGTAGTTGCGGCCTGCATCCCGGTGAGTGGCGGCTGGGGGGACAGAGGCGGGACGATAGGTTAGGGAAGAGGGCAGCCTGGCCTCCCCGGGCACTTGTGTGGCCCTTCTCTTTCCTCGAAGGGCACTTGCAGAGGAAGAGGGCGGGGAGCCTCCGGGCTTCGAAGAGGTCCCGGGACCGAGGTTCCAAGAGGCATCCGGGCACCGGAAGGAGCCGCGGATCTGGGGCTGATTGGTGCGCGGTGTCCGCCCCCGCCGTCCGCCGCCTGGGGTTCTGCTGGCCTGGTCCAGCTCACCTCGTCCCGCCCTGCGCTTTCTGGCCCACCCCCGCAGCTCCCAGCCTGTTGCCCCGATCGTTTTGGCTGCGCCCGGACTGGAGGGTTCTCCCGCAGTTCCCTGGTGACTGTGAGAACGCTTCCCTCTTCTGCACCGTCCTCCACCGTCGGCGCACCGGCGCATTCCGCTGCGTGTTTGAGTGGCCAGCGGTTTCTTTTTGGTTCCCCGCGCGCATCTGACTCCCTCCCTCCCTCCGTTGCTGTTGCTTCGGCAGGTTCAGGTGTGTGCTCTTTCAGAGATGAAGCGGTGTGAATCGTTGTGTAGCCGTGCTCCCCGTCATTGTCATTTCTGTCACCGTGCTGGGGGGAACCTGCTGTCTACGCCTAATACAGTAACTTGAAAGTGCTGACTTCTTGGGGAAACAAAAGTGTCCATAAGGGACTGTCTTCTTTATAATGGGGTTTTATCTCCAGTAACATCTGCATCTGGTTCTTGCATATAGTCCTTGTTGCTGAGATTTCAGCTGACAAAAGTACGCTTCATCGTGTTGAGGGACTGCTGTTAACACAGTGAAATAGTAAGCATTTTAAAATCCGAGAGTTAAAAAAAAAGTGTATTAAACTGTGAGCCGAGAATTGATGCCTCTTATGGAGGCAGTTGTTTCAAGCCCATTGTAGTTAATTTGTTAAATTGCGCCATTTACTTGTACTTTAATTATAAGAACATGTTCTTCATAATTTCTGTTACCAAACTTTTTCTCAATGTTGATCTTACTTTCCTATTTCTGTCTTAGATCTATGTTAAAGTCTAGAGAGAATGTCTTCATAGTGAAGTTGAGGGAGAAGATCAGTTGACTGGTGTATTTATTTGCATCACTTGCTAAGCGGATAAAAGTACAGCTTGTACTGAGTTGTTCTTTTGCTCACTAATGACAAAGGAATTGCGCGAAGGGTACATATTGCCTCACTTGTGGAACGCATCTGTGAAAAGGTCAGAGTTAGAACTCTTAGCCTTGGACACCTTTCTGTCATTTCATGTCTTAGTTATAATCTTTCTCTCCCATGTTATATATCTTAACTTTGTTCTTTATCGAGGTTTTTTTAGAACTTGCTGTTGTATTGGTTTCCATGACCCTGATTTTTTCAGGATATCTTTTCACCTGTGCTTTTTTGTTTCTGGAAAGACTTCTTCCTAACTCTTGATGTCAGTCAAGGCTCTACCCTGTTCTTCTTTCTAAAGAAAACAGAGTTTCAAAATTTCAAATCTAAATACTTTAGTAGGTCCATGACTCTTGAAATGTTATGGAAAATATAGTGTGTGTGTGTGTGTGTGTGTGTGTGTGTGTATGCAAATAATCATTTCTCAAGGAAGAGGATCTGTGATCCCCCAATTCTCAGGAATTATTACTATAAACTTTTTTTTTTTTCCTGGTAAATCCAGTCTTGGGTTTTTAGTTGTCACTGTGCTGGTATCTCCAGACTTAAACCACAGCCTGTGTTCCTATCATACATTTGAATGTCCCATGTTAGCTCACCCAAGAGATTTTTCTTTCATATTAAATTGGTCCCCCCAGTCATCTCGTTTTCGCAAGTGGTATTCTCTATGTATCTCTGAGTAAAAACACTTGAGTTGTTTTGACATCTTCTCCTCACCCCATTCATTCTTGCCTGTTACCAAGTCCTGTGTTTTGCTATTTCCCCACTTTCAAAGTGGGGCTCAAAGTAATCCTTTCTCTAGTACAGTACCAGTGCCTAATTCAAACCCTTGTCACTTTATGCCTGCATTATTGGAATACCTTAGGGAAGTCCTATGTAGATTCATTCTTTTATCCTCAGCTGAGCCTCCAGCTAGCAGTTCCCTTATTTTCCTCCAGTTAAAACACAGTTGTATTCCCTAGAGGTTGGTCTATACCTCCCTATTCTATTTATTTCTCCAGTGTACTTATACTACCCTAATAGTTGGTACCCTAGTCTTCCCTGCTCTTTCCTCAGTAGGTGATGGCACCTGCCACTTGACATACTTCTGTTTATCTTTTTGTAGTCTCCAGCAGAATTTACTCTCAAAATTTTTATCTGCATTTACCAGTGTTGTGATTTGGAAATAGCAAAACTAAGCTTGTTGATTTTGTTGATAGTTCTGTGTTTATTGATTTTTGCTTGGTAATTGTAGTTTGTAAGAGGTGTATTAAAATATTGTCATGAAATTGTCTAGTCTTTCCATAATTCCTCTTTTTTTTTTTTTGCTTTATATACTGTATCTCAGTGTCTTGTTAGGTGTATTCATAATTGGTTATGAGAGTTATGTCATTGGAAAGAAACAATAGAGACCCATTACTTTTATAGCTCTGTCTTCTGCTTGACTATTGGGCCCATTTTTCCAGCATTTTCCGTGTTTACTTACTTTCAGCCACCTGGTGGTTCTTTTAGTCTTGAGTAGACAGAGCTCATTACTGTCTCCAACACTTTCATTGCTTTTTCCTTTGCCTTGAATGCTTTTTTCCCAGATTTTAATAATTTGCTTTGTTACTTATTTGAGGTCTCCAGTAAAATGTCAACTCCGTTCTCTTGATCATGTCAAGTAAAATAGCCCGTTTGCCCTGAGTTTTGGAAATATCCTTTCATGGTAGTTTGTTGTTGTTTAAAGACTTACTTATTTGTGAGAGAGAGAGCACAAGCTTGAGCACACATGCGTGAGAACGAGGGAGGATCAGAGAGAGGGGGAGAGAGAATCTCAAGTAGACTCCCAGCTCACTGTGCGGCCAGAGATGGGACTCTGTCTCACATCCTGACATCAAGACTTGAGCTGAAACCAACAGTCAGAAGCTTGATGGACTGAGCCACCCAAGTGCCCCCTTTAATGGTACTTTTAGTTGATTCTACTGAAACTCCTTGGGGTTCACCACCTCTGACTGGTTTTCATTTGCTTGGGGTCTGTGCACCATTCAAGCAATGTGACTGAAAAAGATCTCGGGCTTGTGATTTCTCAACTATGGATTTACCACTATTGGGTTTTTTTTAACTGTAATAAAAACCAAGTATTATAACATTTATCATCTTTACCATGTTTAAGTATGTGGTTCAGTGGCATTAAGTACATTCACATTGTTCTAAAACATCTCCAGTACTTTTTCATCTTAGGGAACTAAAACTGTGCCCATTAAACACTCCTTTTGCCCCATTCTCCAGTTTCTAGAAATCATCATTCTGCTTTCTATAGCAGTGACTTTGAATACTCTAGATACTTTGTGTAAGTGGAATCACACAGTATTTGTCCTTTTGTGACTGGCTTATTTTACTTAAAATAATATCCTCAAGAGTTCATCCCTGTTGTAACATGTGACAGGTTTTCCATCCTTTTAAAGGCTGAATAATATTCCATTGTAGGTAAATACATTTTGTTTATCTGTCCACGGACATTTGAGTTGTTTCCACCGCTGGTATTGTGTACTGCTATGAACACAAGTGTGCAGATGCTTCTTTGAGACCCTGCTTTCAATTCCTTTGGATATATACCCAGAAGTAGGGTTGCTAGATCCTATGGTATTTCTATTTTTAATATTTTTGAGGAACCACAATACTATTTTCTGCAGCAGCTGCTCCATTTTACAGTCCCAGCAACGGTGCACAAGGGTTCTAACTTCTCCATATCTCTGTCAACACTTGTTATTTTCTGTTTGTTTTTTGTTTTTTGTTTTAAAGATTTTATTTATTTCTCAGAGAGAAAGAGCACAAGCAGACAGAGTGGCAGGCAGAGGCAGAGAGAGAAACAGGCTCCCTGTGAGCAAGGAGCCCGATGCAGGACTTGAACCCAGGGCCCTGGGATCATGACCTGAGCCGAAGGCAGCTGCTTAACCAACTGAGCCACCCAGGTGTCCCTTTCTGTTTGTTTTTAATCACAGCCTTCCTAATGAGTCTGGAATGATATCTCATTTGGTTTTGATTCTCATTTTTCTGATGATTCAGTGATGTTGAGCATCTTTTCATATGCTTGTTGGCCATTTGTATATCCTCTCTGGAGAAATTTCTACTCAAGTTCTTTGCCAGTTTTTTTAATTGGGTTATTTGATTTTTTTTTGGTTGACTTGTAGGAGTCCATTACTAGTTTTGAGCATGGCTTTTTATTCACAGGTACTTTAATTGTATTTTATCAAGTATTTCTGGTTTGGGGATTGTGGGGCTTTTATGTTAATTCAACTTATTCATTGGCCATAAATCCTGGATATCAAAAAAGCCGGGAAGGTAGATGTGTTGGTTTCTTTTCTCTCTGTCTCTCTGTAAAATTGGAATTTTGAAATCATATATATACATGCGATTTACAAAGCTTTTAGTTCAGACTGTAATCTGAACATTTACAGTGGGTTCTGGGTTTCTATCTTTCTCAGTCTTGTCTGTTCCATTCTGTCAGAGGTCTGCTGAATCCTCTTTCTAGTGTCACTCCTTTACTTAAAATACTTCATTGACAGTCTGATCTTTATTTTCTTTGGCGAGATTTGTAAGAGCCTTCATAATCTGACCCCAAAACCATCTTTGCAGTATCATCTACTTGTCCCTCATTATTCTCATTACTCTTTCTAGGTCCTGGAGCGAAACTAGACTGCTTGCATTTTTTGTTCATATTGTTTATGCTTTCTTAAATGCTTTTTTTGTCTTTGTATTTTTTCCTATTATATAAAATTCTCTCCTGTTCTCAGCTTTCTACTTAATGAGTTCCTTTTTAACTTTGTCCAGTTTTTAGTGTCTTTTTATTATCTTTTGAACTTACTTGGATATCTGCTCTGACCATTCTCATGGCACTGTTAAAGTGTTCTAAAACCATTTGCTTTTTTTCTTTTTTCTGTTTGCTTTTAATTACAAAGGTACTATTTGCTCATTGTAGAAAATACAGATAATACAAAAGGAAAAAGAAAAAGTCCCTCTCCTTGTTCTCTTTTGATCCCACTCCTTGGTTCACAAGAATAAACAAACTAGTGCTTACCCTTTCGGAATCTGCGTGTGTGTGTGTGTGTGTGTGTGTGCGTGCACGCATGCATGTGCCACATGTGGACAGCCTCACATTTAAACTGCACATATAGGTTTTTCTCTTTCATTACCTAACGTTTTTGTATCTCCACATGTGTATAGTGTATGTATTATAGCCGCTGGCCTTTTTTACTGTAGTGTATATGAAGGATGGGCAGATCATCTAGTTTCTTTAACTGCTGCAGAATACTATATGGTAACCCATTCTGCAGTTTATATATGCCATAGTTTATTGAGCCATTCCTTTCTAGAAGACCTTTAGAGTTGTTTTTCATTGTTTCATTATTTCAGTCAATGCATTAGGGAATGGGTATATATACTTCTGCAGTCTTATACAAGTATTTCTGTAGGATTCTTAATAGAGTTTTAATAGTGAAATTGCTGATCAAAAAATATGCCTTTAAGATTGTGATAGATAGTATTTAAGGTATTTAAGATTTCATTGGATATTGTCAGATAACCCTATGTGTCCCATTTCTCCAGCCTATTATTAATACTGAATATTATCAACCATTTACATTATCACCTATTGTAAAAACAAAACATGTTTTAATTAGTATTTTTCTTTGATGTGGTGAAGGGTATTTTCATAATTTTACTGTTTGTATTTCTTCTTATTCTACATTAACTGGCCTGCTAATGTCCTTTGTCTATTTTTCTGTCAGCTGAATCTTTCTTTTTTTAATTGCATTCATCTTACATTGTGGTTATGATCCCCTTGTCTGTTAGATGTGGCACATAGCTTCTTGTAGTCGGACCTTTAATTTAATAAACACAACTAGCTAGTGAAATGTTTTTTTGCATGGCTTTCTGTAGCCTTAGACTGAAAGTTCCTTCATATTGTGTTTGTCTTTGTGGTTTCAGCATCTAGTACCATGTCCATGTAGGTTAAATATTCTATAAATGGTTTGCAATGAACAAGGTGGTGTAAGACTTGACTCTACAAAGACTTCAAAGTCTGGTGTCACATAAACTAGTCCAGACTTTGACAGAGAAGAAGAACAGCATAGTATCTAAATTGCATATTCAGTTATGTGTTGTAGGAAAACTTATGTATTTGGTAGCTTTCTTAAATTAGTTCTTATGAAACATCCTATAACTTTTTTTTTTTTTTCACTAAATTCTGTACTGAAAAATGAATTTTCTTCTGTGAGCTTAAAAGGGAGATCTGCAGTATCTCTAATGGAAATACATTATTCTATCTTCTTTGGAGACAAGCTGCTGAGTTTAGTTCAAGTAGAGAAGTATTTTATCTTAAACCCAGTTTCAATTTTACCTTGTATCCTAATTTTTTTTTCTTGCTATTTCAGGTAAGACCATGAATTATGGCATTTCTTAAATGAAGCATTCAGGAATGAAGTGAAAATCCTAACATATAGAAAATAAATGATTTTTAAGTTATGTCTATTAATTTGACTATAGATATATATTATATTTACCTCCTTAGTAATGCAAGAAGTCTTTGTGGGAAGCAGAGAAGCAAGCAGCTGCATTTCTTATACTCACCTAAACATTACTGGAGGGTAAGCCACGCCAGTCTACAAAGAGGTTTTCATACAAGCAAAATAAGATGTAAATTGACCAAAAGTGATGCCCATTCTTGGAGCAAGCACTGTTACTCTCCAAGCAACCATGGTTTACAGATTGGAATTTTGAAACTTAGCACTTCTACTCCCAAGGGACTTACAAAAGTGAGCATTCGTATGTCCCGTATTAAAAGTACTTTGAACTCTGTTTCAAAGGCTGTTTTTGGCACTCAGAATGAAATGATCTCACGTTTAGCTCAATTTAAGCCAAGTTCTCGCATATTAAGAAAAGTATCAGATAGTGGTTGGTTAAAACAGACAGGCATTAAACAAGCCATCAAATCTCTGAAAAAATACAGTGACAAATCAGTAGAGAAGAGTTCTTTTTCAGAAAGTCATAGTCTAGGTAAAGATGAAGATATAGGTAAACAAAGTCTTTTTCGTCACACAAGTAGTTTAACCACAAGATTTGGAGAGTCATTCTACTTTTTATCAAATCATATTAATTCATACTTCAGACGTGAGGAAAGAATGTCTCAAAGAAAGGAAAATAAACATTTCCAGGACAAACTTGAAGATAAAAAGGTCGAAGAAGAGAAATCGAGCTCTCCAGACCCTGGCATCCTGACTGATAAGCGAGATTCAGAATCTTCTTTATATTCTGTGGACAAGTCTGCAAGTGCCAGCGGGACTCCTGAGGCTCTTCCAGTTTCTACTAAACAGAGTATTGCTAACTTTCTTTCTCGTCCCACCGAAGGTGTCCAAGCTTTAGTAGGTGGTTATATTGGTGGACTTGTCCCTAAATTAAAGTATGATTCAAAGAGTCAGCCAGAAGATCAGGAAGAGGCTGTTAAAGCTGAGCAGCCTGTCAGCAAAGACAAAAATGGAGAGGAGAAAAAGCGGTTATCTCTTCAGCGAGAAAAGGCAAGTCGTTATCAGTGTTGCTTGACCTTTTAACTTTTGTCAAATGTGTAAATTCCATTTCCCTATGGGACCTAAGAAACCTTAATCACGTGTTGGTATTACTAGAGAAGTTTCACATTCTAATCATATATATTTTAATATGTCTTTGTAGATTATTGCAAGAGTGAGTATTGATAACAGAACCCGGGCATTAGTACAGGCGTTGAGAAGAACAACTGACCCAAAGCTCTGCATTAACAGGGTTGAAGAACTGACTTTTCATCTTCTAGAATTTCCTGAAGGAAAAGGAGTGGCTGTCAAGGTAATTCTAATTTATTTATTTGGTTTTGTCTTGGAATAAAAATACTAACACACTTTCTGAAATGGAGAAGGCAGTACCTTTCATTTTTTAAATTTAACTATTTTTAGGTTTTTATTATATACATGATGTGTCATAGAGTCAGTAATTGGCCCACTTATTCTATTATATATATTATGCTTAAATATTCTCTTATTCTGTGATGATAAATTATGCTGTTGGTACTACTATCTATACTTTGAGATTAAATGTTTAAAATAGAAAATAAGTCTCAGTGTGTTCACTGAATTACAAAATAGTTGCCAAATTTTTCTTAAATGTGTTGATACTATATAGCTACTCTTTTAAGATGGGAGATGTAATTCATAAGTAAAACCATAGGTAATTTTTACTTCTTGATCTTTTTGTATTTGCAAGTCTTCATTTTAATTATCTTAATGATAATTGGATTAATAATTATATTAATAAAATGATTAGCTTTTCTTCACCTCAATTTTTTCACATATAAAATAGTGAAGGTAATTTAGACCCATTTAAACAGACTATTTTCGGAGAAATACTATAAAATATGAATGATGTGCTTGAGTCTCTTTCCATTGCACTACTAATTATTTGTAATATTTAATCACCTGTTTACAAATATATAATGAACGGATATTGTTAACATTTGTTTAGAGATCTGTTAATGCTTGTTTTTAACTCGCCATTCAGAAAAGTCTAAGTTAACTTAGTTCATATTCCAATTTTTGACAACCATTTTGCTGAAGAGTTACCTCAGTCCTTATATAAGGTAGCCTCCTATAGTTTCATATTGTATAATTCATACATTATAAAGCTAAACTTCAGAATTTCATGTTCATAGAACTGGGGATTATCTTTCATGGCTATTTAATCTCTTATCTAAAAGACAGATTTTTCCAAAGGTAGATAGCTTTTAAGTCCATTTACTATTTCAGGGATATACTGAAGCAAAGATTTAAAATAGACTTGCATACTTTAAAGAACTTTAAAAAAATGTTTTATTGCAGTACAGTACAACCTGCAGTTATTGGAATCAAGTTCAGTGAATTTTTCACAAACTAAAGGCATCCATGTAACTGGCACTCAGATGAAGAACAGAATTTACCAGGACTTCACAAGCCTCCTTTATGCCCCCTTCAATCACAGTTTCCCCAAAGTAGTTTAGATTAGTTTAGGGGTTTTTTTATACCTTATATAAACTATTGTGATTGGGTTTTTTCATTCATCATGTTGGTAGTAATCGTTCTCATTGTTGTAGAACATTCATTCTTGTTGCTTTCATATTCCATGGTGTGAATGTATCACAACTTATTTATTGTACTACTGATGAATTGTTGGGTACTTTTCAGTTTTAGTCTATTATGAATAGTCATGCTATTAGAAACTTTGAGGGCGCTTTTATTTTGCATTACTGATCTCACATCTAAGGACCCTTCAATACCAAGGAGTAGTGTGTTGTAGGAATGTCTATTCCAATCAAGTATGATTGAAAATCTGGATAGTCTGTAAAAAGTTCTTAACCACGTCCCTAAATAAGAAGCATCTCAAAAAGAATGAACTGGATAAATTAAGACATGTTCACATGCACAGTCTCATGTGAACTTTCCAATGAAGTTTTAATTATTCAAAAGAACTGAGCTTTTGAAAAATGCTAGAATTGTTTGTTCTAAAACATTTATATGAATTTTACTTTTTTGTATATCATATTTATGGTGGCCAAATGAGAGTGAATTATTTTTGGTAGATTAGTTACCGTGTGTGTGTGTGTGTGTGTTTGTGATGTTCTGCATTCATGGCAGCCACATCTAGGAAATTGCCCTTTTTGGTTTCTTCATTGTTGGTGAAAGCATTCTCCTTTCATTATTTTTTTAATAAAAAAGTAACTTTTTATTATTTAAAAAAGGGGCAGCATAAACTTTGTAAAAATTTTTTAAAAATAAAAACAAAAATAAGAAAATAAGAATAACATATTTATTTCTACTACCCAGAGATTATCACTGTAAATGTATTAGTGTCTGTATCAGATTAAGCCAAGTTAAACTCTAATAAATAGTATCAAAACCTCAGTGACTTAACGCAACAGAGGCTTATTTGTCCCTTGTGCAGTCACCTGGGCATTGGGTGACTCTCCAGGACAGCGACCCTCTGTGAGGTGGCTACTTTGATCTTGTTCTTGTATGTTTCCATACGTGTCCTCCATGATCTCACTCTAGTGGAGTAAGAGTATTTCAGCAGAAAGTGCCACAGGTTTCTTCTACTCATGAGTTACTTATCCTGCCCAAGTACTGCCTTCGTGTGCCTGAGAGGAAAAGCAAATTGGATATTGGTGAACATTAGTAATGTCTGCTGCAGTATTTCTCTAGAAATTGTTCTGTGCATATATATAATATACCAAAGTAAAGGCATTCTATATGTACTGCTTTATAGTCTGTTATTTTCTTTTTTTCAGTTTGTAATGTACACCTCTTTGTATCAATAAATTGTCATCTCATCGTATACCCAAGTCGAAAATGCTTTTTGTATAACTGATTGGGTCCAAATGATTGTCTTGTAGAATGGCTCACTTTGTGAAATTTTTTTTAATTTTTTTATTTATTATTATTTTTTTTATAAACATATAATGTAATTTTATCCCCAGGAGTACAGGTCTGTGAATCGCCAGGTTTACACACTTCACAGCACTCACCCTCCCCAATGTCCATAACCCCACCCCCCTCTCCCAACCCCCCTCCCCCCCAGCAACCCTCTGTTTTATGAGATTAAGAGTCACTTATGGTTTGTCTCCCTCCCAATCCCATCTTGTTTCATTTATTTTTCTACCCCCCAAACCCCCCATGTTGCATCTCCACTTCCTCATATCAGGGAGATCATGTGATAGTTGTCTTTCTCCAACTGACTTTTTTCACTAAGCACGATACCCTCTAGTTCCATCCATGTCATCACAAATGGCAAGATTTCATTTCTTTTGATGGCTGCATGGTATTCCATTGTGTATATATACCACATCTTCTTTATCCATTCATCTGTTGATGGACATCTAGGTTCTTTCCATAGTTTGGCTATTGTAGACATTGCTGCTATAAACATTCAGGTGCACATGCCCCTTCGGATCACTATGTTTGTATCTTTAGGGTAAATACCCAGTAGTGCAATTGCTGGGTCATAGGGTAGTTCTATTTTCAACATTTTGAGGAACCTCCATGCTGTTTTCCAGAGTGGCTGCACCAGCTTGCATTCCCACCAACAGTGTAGGAGGGTTCCCCTTTCTCCGCATCCTCGCCAGCATCTGTCATTTCCTGACTTGTTAATTTTAGCCATTCTGACTGGTGTGAGGTGGTATCTCATTGTGGTTTTGATTTGTATTTCCCTGATGCCGAGTGATGTAGAGCATTTTTTCATGTGTCTGTTGGCCATCTGGATGTCTTCTTTGGAGAAATGTCTGTTCATGTCTTCTGCCCATTTCTTGATTGGATTATTTGTTCTTTGGGTGTTGAGTTTGCTAAGTTCTTTATAGATTCTGGACACTAGCCCTTTATCTGATATGTCGTTTGCAAATATCTTCTCCCATTCTGTCAGTTGTCTTTTGGTTTTGTGAACTGTTTCCTTTGCTGTGCAAAAGCTTTTGATCTTGATGAAATCCCAATAGTTCATTTTTGCCCTTGCTTCCCTTGCCTTTGGCGATGTTCCTAGGAAGATGTTGCTGCGGCTGAGGTGGAAGAGGTTGCTGCCTGTGTTCTCCTCAAGGATTACGTAGTGAATTTTTATGGGGCTTCCTCCTCATTGGTGTTATTTGATGTATTCCTTGTTCCTTTGTATTTGCTGAATACTGGAATATAAACATAAAGACTTGGTTAAGTTAAACTTTTTGTTAGAGCACATTGTATATGTTGCCATGTGTCTCATCTTCCATCATACCAGAACACGTATATGTTGGCCACTGGATTAGGGAGATGACAGTCTGATCTTCTCATTGGACATTTAGGCTAGAATCATAATCCCATCAGCCATTAACCTAATCCAGAACTAGTCATTTCATTAGGGTTGCAAAATGATAAATTTCTAATTCTGCCACTCCTTCTGCATTGTAATTGACATTCGTCTGTAAAAGTAGAGCTTTCCTTTACTAGCTAGAGCTATTTGGTTACTCTCAAAGAGCAGTTTTACAGGATAAGCAAGAAAAATGCTTAGTTTCCTTTTACTTAGTCACCAATTTTCAAAGTAAAGAGATGCTTTAAAGCTGCCCCATTGGTGACAGGAAATTTTTGGCATTTCTTTAAACTATCATTGTGGACTCCCTAGGTTTTCATAAATCGTATTTTGATCATTTTTTTCCTCCCTTCTCTCTTCTTTTGAAAGCTGAATTGATCTCCGCTTTGTTTGGTAGGGGCCCAAAATTCATTCATATAACTAACTTCTTAGAAAAGTATCATGGGCAGAAAAGTATATGTAAGCATACAGCTCCATGAATTTTCAAAAATTGAAAACATCTGTATAACCCTCATCTCTTTATGCCCCGTTCCAATCACTGTCTCCAAAAAGATTGACCACTACCTGATTTTTAGCACTCTAGGTTAGTTGTGCCTTTCTCTGCATGTTCTATAAATGGAGTGGTACAGCTTGTGCTCTTTTATATCTGTTTTTTTCACTTGACGTTATTTTTGAGAACCTTCAAGGTGGAGTATGGCTATGAAACATTCACATTGTGATGGATTCTGTGGTATGAATATAGGACCATGTATCCATTTTACTGCTGATGGACATTGGGATAGTTTCCAGTCTGGGAGTATTCAGGAATAGTGTTTCCGGGATGTATCTTTTGGGAAACACAGGTCTTTATTTCTTTGGGAGTGTATATCCAAGAATAGTGGTCTTGGTTATGAAGTATGCCTATTTTCATCTCTAGTAGATTCTGCCAAATAGTTTTGCAAAGTGTTATACCAACTTATACTTCCGCCAAAATTGTATCGATCTTCTGGTGGTTCTACTTCTTCTCCAAAACTTTATCGTCTTTATTTTAGCCATTGTGTTGGATGTTTAGTGATACTGAATTGTGGCTTTAGTTTGCATTTCTCTGGTAACTGTGAAGTTTAGCATCTTTTCCAGTGCTTATTGGCCATTTGTGTGCTTACCTTTTGTGAAGTGCCTTTTCCACATCTTACTCATTTTTCCTTTGGGTTGACCAACTTTTTCTTACTGACTTGAAGAATTTCTTTATATATTATAAAAGTTTTTTATATATGGCATATATTACAAATAATATTATATATAATAGTAATATACAATAACTATGTATTTTTTGTAAATGTATTTTCCCACTCTTGGAGTTACCTTTTAACTCTGCTGGCCCTCTGTCTGAACCAGTCCCAGTTTTTCAGTCTTCTGTTTCTTCCCCAAATAAGCAAAAGCCTCAAGGGAAGACAAGCTATAGTTTATGAGATCACTTATTTTTTAAAAGAATTCATCTTTTATTTATTTATTGGAGAAAGAGAGTTACGCATGCACATGTGCCCACCAGCAGGTGGGAGAAGCAGACTCCCTACTGAGAAGGGGGCCTGAGATGGGGCTTGATCCCAGGACCCTGGGGTCTTGACCTATGCCAAAGGCAGACACTTAACTAACTGAGCCACCCAGGCGTCCTGAGCTCACTTCTTAGCACTTCTCTCTCCAGATTCTTACCCCTCCTGTTCTCATTGCTTCAGGAGCCCTCTGATGCTTTTGAACAGATAGAACTTCTTTTGTCTTTTATTAAAGTTTTCCAGTTCTTGGAAAGAGACTGTTCTAACCAGAAATGGAAATTTATATTCCCATGCCCACCGTTGTTCAGACTCTTCTTGTGGGACCTTAAAGCTCAACATTAGCCAGGGCAAAAAAGCAACTGAAAAAGAATTTAGAACAATATTACTTCACATTGATTTATCATAATCATAAAAAAGAAACAAAATGAGTGATACATTTGGATTATTTTTTTAATTTATTGAAGGAAGATTACATAGCACAAGTTTAGTTGCTAGTCTCAGATTCCCTTAAGCCTGGGCTTCTGACCGGATAAGGTGCTTTTGTGCACAGAACCTAGAGATTCTCTGATAAACTCAGTGTAGAACCCTAGAAGTTAAGCTCTTGCCTCTGGTCACCAATATGAAATTAAACACATAGAATCTCAGAGTCCTAGTTTTGTTTAAACAAATTACTTAAATGTAACGAATTTGGATTATTTATTGTAATCGTCAGCTTTTGCCTTCTGCCTTAGTTATAGGTATTGACATTTGTTTATATTTCACTATGAGCTACCCTTATATCCTATATTCACAAGATGGTTTATGTTTTTTTTTAATAACAAGTTCAACTTCCAGTAATTACTATGAAGAAGTTTATCTCTAGGATTTGGAGAAAATAGTTTATACAATTTATAATGTTAACCTTTTGTTGTAACAATACTTTGTAAATTTCTGTTAAACAAATTATATATTTTCTAATTATTAAGCATTTTATCTTTTAAAGAAAATATTTGTACTGAGGTTAATTCTTAACCTAGATATTAGAAGAAATATATTTTAAATACTAATTGACATTTATATGTTAAAAAGTAATGTCATTTAAGATTATTAAGAAAGTAATAAACCCTGGCATTGTGATTATATGTGGTCTACATATGTTGGAATCATACAGTTTCACTCTTCATTTGACAAAAGCAATAAAATACTTTTTTTTCTCAATACAGGAAAAAATTATTCCATATTTATTAAGATTGAGACAAATTAAGGATGAAACTCTTCAGGCTGCAGTTAGAGAAATTTTGGCCTTAATTGGCTATGTGGATCCCGTGAAAGGAAGAGGAATCCGAATTCTTACAATTGATGGTGGAGGAACAAGGTAAAGCTAGAAAAATGATTTTTTAAATCCTATAGATCCAGTTCAGCCAGAAATTTTTTTTAATTGATTCTGTGTAAGAATAGTAGCTATATCATTGTAAAACCAAATGTTTAAAATAAAACATGAAATAGTTTTTCTTAATTTATTACTTTTTCCATTTGAGAGCTTCTTGGTTTTTTTTTTTTTTTTTTTGGTTTTTTTTTTTTTTTTAATTTCATTTAGAGTGAGCATGAGTGGGGGAAGGGGCAGAGGGAAAGGGAGGGAGAGAACCTCAAGCAGGAGCCATGCTCAGCGTGGAGCCAGATATAGGGGCTCATTCCCAGGACCCTGAGATCATGACCTGAAGGAAAATAGAGTCAGCTGCTTAACCAGCTGAGCCACTCAGGTGCCCCAAGGGCTTCTTCAGCATATACCTGAATTTGCTTTTATTTTAATTTGACCTAGTATTTATTTCAGTTTGGTCTCTTCAGACCTTCTTGTTAGTTTAGGACAGTATATCAACCATGACTTAAAAAATCTAGGCAATGTTTTGTAACATTAGCTTTCTTTAATTATATTTATCTTACTGGTGTTTATCAGTCAGCTAGTCACTTAATAAAGAGATTGCTATAAAAGGAGTCTATATCAGTAACTTTCTGAGTCCCCACGTTCTCAGCTGCAGATGCCAGTTCTGGTGCCACACTAGAGATATTTAGTGCATTCTTAGCTCCAAAGGAGGTAATTTTGCCATCGGACTCCATTCTTGCTTCTGGCAGTTCATCCGTGCTGCTTCTGATTAGTTTGTTGAGTTCCTCTTACTGCTTGTTGGTTAGATCCTTTGGTGTTAGCCTCCCCGCCCCCAACACCAGATATTCTAGCTTGGGTTCAGGTTTCCTGCCATCTCTGCTCTCATCTCTGAAATTGATAGTACATGCCCTGCCTGTTGTTCTTTGATTACTTTATCTCTCTGATTACATTCTCTGATACACCTGCTTTGCCAATTACTATCTTGTATGTCCAAGTACTGTGCTTATTGTTTTGTTAAATTCTGAGCTCCTCTATGTCAGCCAGATTCTTTTCGTTTTGACACCAGTATCAGTAATGGTGTGAGTGATAAGGGAAAAAGCTATTTAACCATCTAGGCGGAGGACAATAAAATAATGCCTTCAGATGGTAGCCGTGGGAAGCAGGAGGGAGGAAAAATATGCAAGAAAACTTTGAAGAAAAGGGGAATTGGATATAGAAGGAAATCGAGAGCACTCCTAAATGGAGACCCCATGGATGCCTGGGGCAGAACTGCAGGGAAATGGGAGGAGGTGATTGGTATTGAGAAAGACAGTTCTGTTTTTGAACATGCTGAATAGAAGGCTTCACATAGCAGTATAGAAGTGCTAATTCGGCAAATGAAGATTGAGTTGATTGAGAAAAGAAAAGTTTCAGAATAATTTTTGGATGTTTCTTATGGAAGTGAAATAACTGAAGAAGGTGAACATCATTCATACGATAGATGAAGTGGTAATGAATTAGAATCATTCTAGTTTATAGAATTGGTTAAAAGTGATGGGAAGTAAGGAGAGTGGGAGTTCAGTGAGTAAGGAATTTCACTGAGGAGCAGGAAGAAGCCAGTCCTCTCTGCCATTAAGATCAGGACAGATGGAGGGGCGCCTGTGTGGCTCAGTGGTTAAAGCTTCTGCCTTCAGCTCAGGTCATGATCTCAGGGTCCTGGGATCGAGTCCCGCATTGGGCTCTCTGCTCAGCAGGTAGCCTGCCTCCTCCTCCTGTCTCTCTCTGCCTGCCTCTCTGCCTACTTGTGATCTGTCAAATAAAAAAAAAAAAAAAAAAAAAATCAGGACAGATGGAAAAGTTGGTTTCATTCATTGAGTCAACTGTTCTTAACACTGTTCTTAACACTGATTTGGATCCAGGAATCAGTAAGCAAAACAGACAAAATCTAAGTCTTCATGGTACTAGTATTCCAGAGGAAGGAGAACAAATAGAAAAGCAAAAATGTATTATTGAATAGTAAGGGGTGCTATGAAGAAAAAAACAAAGTGGCAAAGAGTAAGTGCTGTTTTAGAGAATGATCATGATTATTTTAGAGCATGATTATGATTATGACTTTTTTTTCATTTTAAAAAAATACTGAGATACCGACTTGGTGTATTAGTTTCAGATATACAACACAATGATTTGATACCTGTTTATTTTGTAGAATGATCACAATAAGTCTAGTTAACATCCGTCACCACACAGAGTTAATAACTTTTTTTCTGGAGTTGAGAACATTTGAGATTAACTCTTTTAGTAACTTTCAGGTATGCAGTACAGTATTATTAACTATGTTAGCACGTTGTACCTTATATCCCCTGGATGCATTTATTGTATTATTTATTGTGTAACTGGATGTTTATACCTTCTGATCTCTTCACCCATTTTGTCAACCCCACCCACCCACCCCTTTTGGCAACCACCTGTGACTGTGACTTCTTTTTGAGTAGAATTCTGAAGGAACAGTCAGGAACTTCAGCTATCTATTTAGAGTGATGAATATTTTGAAAAGAGCTTTGGGACCAGTAAATATTTGATTTTAGAGAATAGGAGTTTTGTTAGTCATCCAGGGAGGAAATTAGAGTGAAGACATTTGGGAAGATATAAAGGTGAGTTAGGATGAAGGGAGGTGTAGATTAGCAGTTCTCCATTGGAGGCGATTTTGCTATCTAGAGGACATAGTTCAGTGTCTGGAGGCATTCTTGGTTGTTGGAGCTAGGGGACTGCCACTTTGTGTTTAGTGAGAAGAGGGCAATTAATGCTGAAACCCTACAATGCACAGGATAGCCCTACAGCAAAGAGTTTTCCAGCCTGAAATGTCCCTCTTGCTAAACTGAGAAACCTTGCTTGAGGAGAACTTGAGAATGCAGCCAGGATGGTAAGTTTGTGCTGAGAGGAGTAAGATACAAGGGCTTGGGAGAAAAAGAACCCATACCTTTTATTGCTTTTTTTAGAAAAATTTTTTATTTTAAAAGATTTAATTTATTTATTTGACAGACAGAGATCACAAGTAGGCAGAGAGGCAGGCAAAGAGAAAGGGGGAAGCAGGCTCCTTTCTGAGCAGAGAGCCCGATCCCAGGACCCTGAGATCATGACCTGAGCCAAAGGCAGAGGCCTAACCCACTGAGCCACCCAGGTGCCCCACTTCTATTGCTTTTGTGTATGAAAGCCCCGTATAGTGTTAGGCAGAGAGAATCAATCTGGCCAGTGTATTTATTTCTAAATATGACGTGAATTGATTTGTAAATACAGCATTTTAAAATAGTTTTCTACCTGATTATACAAGTAAAACTTGGAGGAGAAAAAAAAGAAATATAAAGAAAAGCAAACCAAAAAATATAGCTCACAATTACCAGATTTTTAATATTTTGACTTATTTCTTCAGATTTTTTTTTCTTGCATGAGTATGTATGTGCCTTTTTTATTTCTTTCTTATAAGATAATGGAGGTCACATTGTTAAGTATATTTATCCGGGATTATCTCTAATTCTTCATGTCTCACTTTGATTTCATAGTGTATCTCTTTGATAAGCCATCTCCTCATCTTTTACTACCTCTCTTCAAAGCGACATTACTTCTTAAAATAAAAAAAAAAATCAGCGTTTTTGGTTTCCTACTTTAATATTAGAGTATTTTCTGGTGATTTCCTTTTAGCAGTATCAAAGCACACTTTGACACTCTAGGTTGTATTTGGTGATGCCTAACTATAGCCAGGACCCTTCTGCCCCACATCTTGTATTGGGTTTAGACCATTTCATTGTTTCTGTATATTCTCCCAGCATTAAGAATTGTCCACATGTTACACACATCCTGAATTGGCATATACCTCCTGGCCTCTTTTCATTTTCCACATTCATCATTAAGCTCTTTTCTGCCTTTGGCTAAGATCCAAAAGTGAGCAAAGTCAGCTGCATAAAGTAGTACTAATGGCAGGGCATTGTCTTGAAGTTGTTGGAAGTTTTAAAAGATGAATAATTAAAAGCTTGAAAGTATGACTAGTGAAATGCAGAAAACAAAAATGTGTAGAAGCATAGGCAAACAACTTCTACTGCAGAGAGAAGAAACTAATATACAGTGTTCCAGAACTGGTGAGTGCAGGTTTTAAGTATTTTCCACAGTCTGGGGTGTTTAAAAGAACATCTTACATTCTCATCTTTACAGTCATGTTCAGAGAGATACTAGTATAAATTAAAATTTGCTGCTGTGACACAGGTTTTATTCCATTATTTAGCTACTGGAGTTTCGAAAGTGATCTTAAAAACAGGCCATTTTTACTGACATTAATTTATATTATCAGTTTCCCTGTTAGCATATAAGCTAGAAAAGCAACTTGTGGGCTTGTTTTATTCAAGACTTAATTTCCTTGAAACGGGAATTTTCATTTTTCTTTTTTTTTTTCTGTAGGGGTGTGGTTGCCCTTCAGACACTGCGAAAATTGGTTGAACTTACTCAGAAGCCAGTTCATCAGCTCTTTGATTACATCTGTGGTGTGAGCACGGGTAATTATTGTTAAACAGAAGCCCTGTGTCCCTGCAGTGTGCATTTAAAATGATGGTCATTCTCAGAAGTGATGGGTATTTTATGTTTTGTTGAAGAATAATCCTTTGATTGGCCTAATGAACTTTATAAAATGTTTGTGGTAATAAGTTACCATTCAGAGGTGGTGTTTATTTGTTGTTCTGTTTTGTTTTGTTTTTGCAAGAGAGCGCGGGTCCTGTGCAAGTAGGGGTGAGGGACAGAGGGACAAACTTAAGCAGGCTTCCTGCTCAGCGTGGAGCCTGAGGCAAGGCTTCACCCTTTTGACCCTTAGTTCAGGACCTGAGCCTCGCCAGGAATTGGACGTTTAATATTCTGAGCCACCCAGATGCCCAGGAAATTGCTTCTTATATTTCTTGATTGTTTAAAGCCAGAATTTAAATCGGTAAATGTGAGAATCTATGTGTTTAACATAATTTTTTTGAAGATTTTATTTATTTATTTGACAGAGAACACAAGCAGGGGGAGTGGGAGAAGGAGAAGCAGGCTTCCCATTGAGCAGGGAGCCCGCTGTGGAACTCGATCCCAGGATGGTGGGATCATGACCCAAGCCAAAGGCAGACACTTAATAACTCTACCACCCAGGCACCCCATCTGCTTATCTTTATAGTAGCTCTACTTAAAAGGCAGTTAGTTTTTTGGCAAGTTATTTCTTGTGTTAATTAGGGATTTTCTGCAAATTGAAAAAAGTAATTTCTGTTATAAATTAGTAATGCCGTTCAATTTATTTTAAAACCTAAGCTGTTTTCTTTTATTAGAATAAGACTGAGTATAATAAAATACATACAATATTTAAAATACATTACGATAATGAGTTCCTGTTTTTCCTTTGTGGGCAATCTCAGAGTAAGCCCTGATGCTGTATAGATCTTTGCCCCCCTCCCCCCATCAGCAAAGCTTTTCTCCCCTACATTTCTCCTTAGTTCAGGGTTAGACCAGTTAGGTACACTAGGTGGCAGTGTGTCCTACCAAGTGTAGCCAGGACATGAAATCAGCTATTTAAAAGGCTATCCCAGAGACCTAATTTCTTTAATTATTTTAGTTCCCCGGACCAACTCAAAGGAGTAGTTATTTTAGTGAATTGGTAAGTTGTCAAATATACTGTATTCTGTGACTAAAACTAAGGAATTTATTAATGTTAGAAATAACGTCATTGACCATGGTATCTAAACTATGTGTTACTTAGTTTGATGTAAAAAAAAAAATCCTATATCTTAAAAATTAATCCTGATAATCATTGGTTAACGTTTATTTAGTCCTTATTGAGGCCAGTTAAAGCCCTTTACATGTGTTTCCTATATAAGAACATAAATTTATTTATTATCTTTATTTTAGAGATGAAAAAATTGGGCTCTTAGAGGTTACATAGTTGGTCCCCAGGTGGTACAGATCAGAGCTAGAATTTTAACCAGGTCTGTGACTTGGAAAGTCTTATAAGTACTGCAATGTCGACACTGGTAAAAACCAAGCATTCCTTCTTTCAGGTGCTATATTAGCATTCATGCTGGGATTGTTTCATATGCCTTTGGATGAATGTGAGGAACTTTACCGAAAATTAGGATCTGATGTGTTTTCACAAAATGTCATTGTTGGAACAGTCAAAATGAGCTGGAGCCATGCATTTTATGACAGTCAAACATGGGAAAATATTCTTAAGTAAGTTACTAGTTGTTTTTTTTTTAATGTTTGATTCTATAAATAATATTTGCATATTATTTGAAAAATGACAGAAAATTAGAAATAATATTAAATTATTGATCCCAGTAATTAGAGTTGATCATTGTTAATATTTTGGTGTATAATTCCAGTCATTTTTTTTAAGTTCCTGTGTGAGATTTGCATGTAGAAATTGCAATTGCCTTTTTAAAAAATTGAGACCGTATTATACATAGACACACACCTGTTGTTTTTACTTAATGTATTAGTCTCTTTCAAGTCATTAACAGATATTCTTCTAAAACATTAATGATTTTTAAACATTGTTTCCAGAATACTGTAAATACTCACTTTCCAAAAATACATATTGAAGCCTTTAAAATTACCCACAGTCTTATTCAGAGCTGTGGACTTTGCAATCGATGTATAGTCTTCTAGTCTTTTTCTAGACTGTATACATTTCCATACATACCTTTTTTAAAGATTTAGAAAGTATTTTACATTGATATTTATGAAATACAATAAAGGGTAGATCATCGCCTAATTTTTACATTCTACTGGTATGTGAAATTCACTAATACACTATTCGAGAATCATGAATATTGTTTGACAAAAAGTCACTAGAAACATGGTTTTTCTTATTGAGGCAAGTTGGTAAAAAAAAAAAAAAAAAAAAACCATAGTCCTTATATCCAGTACAGGGGAAAATACACATTTTTTTAAAGATTTTATTTATCTGACAGAGATACAAGTAGGCAGAGAAGCAGACAGAGAGAGAGAGAGAGAGAGAGGAGGAAGCAGGCTCCCTGCTGAGCAGAGAGCTGGATGTGGGACTTGATCCCAGGACCCTGGGATCATGACCTGAGCCGAAGGCAGAGGCTTAACCCACTGAGCCACCCAGGCACCCAAAGACACATACTTTTAAGTCAGGAAAAAAATCTGCTCTGGAACAAAACTCCCTTATGATGGAATTGTGGAAATTGCTGCCCAAGGACAAGATCTGTAATGTTGCAGTTAATTCAGAGCCCAGCGCCAATGATTTAAAAAGCATTTTGTAGGAGTGACAATTGGCTCTGTGTTGCTAGAGCAAGTTTGAAGTCTAAATGTCCTGATGTGGTTTTTAGATTACTCTGTTACTAGTCTACATACTTCTGTAGTTTTATCTCAACACAGCTCCTTTATCCCTCAGGAGGACCCTGAAAACAGCAGTTTATTCTGCCTCAGTGCCTTTCTTTACTCCCCAGACAGGGTTGAATGTGTTGCCTTGTCATCTTTTGGTGTCCTTCTCAAGCTGCACCTCAACTCTCTATTGCTTTTTGTGCATTAATTGTACTATCAGGCACCTAGAGGAGATTTTTATATTTCTTTTTTTGTCATTCATAGTACTTTGAACAAAACCCTGAGCAAACAGTATTTGAATATTGTATGTTCCCCAATGTTAGGAGATACAGTCATTTTGATGTACTTTCATTTTCCTTCTTTAATAAAGGGATAGAATGGGATCCTCATTAATGATTGAAACAGCAAGAAATCCTACATGTCCTAAGGTAAGTTTGGAGTCTTAAATATAATCCCAACTTGGAATTGAAGGTCAGGTGAAAGCACTTATTCTAAGAGATACATTTCTTAGGAACCTCTTTTAATAGATTTTATTGATTCCTTACTTTTTGGGCTATTTTATGAAGATGTAAGATGTGGTCATTTGACCTCTTCCTATATCCAGTAAAAGTGTAACTAAAGTTTAAGAACATGAAAGACTAGGACTAAAACCAAGGAAGAATTATTTTATCATAAGGTTAATCAAATCCAGTGACACAAGAAAAATTACAGCTTTTCTTCCCCCAGACTTTTTTAAAAGAAATTTTATGTGCCTGTGAATATATTAGATTAACGATAAAAGGAATCCCAATTTTAAAAATGTTAATGCCACTAGAATGTGTCTTATATGGCTTCTCTTTTTATTTATTTTGTTTGAAACCCAGTAATCAGAGTATTGCTTGAGTTCTGTGTTCCTTAATAATACTTGTTACTTGATTAAGGAATAACATTTACAGACTTCAGAATCCCCTGTAGCTTGTATTTATTCTTGGATGATAAGCTGTAACCTTGAAAGATCAAATAAGGCTCCTTTTATTTCTCTTTCACTCTTGCTTGTTCAGATTTCATTCATTCTTTAGATATTAATTCTGAACCCCATGTGTCAACACTGTGCCAGGCACTCTGGAGACCTTTGTAAATGCAGACATGGAGTTTAGAGTCCAGTAGGGCAAAGTAGGCATCTGTCAGGTAATCACACAAACGAAATACAGTTTTGCTGAAATAAATGCTATGGAGTACAAAAACAGTTCTCTGAAAGCATATATTTACAGGGACAGGAGGGAAGGCTATTCTGAGGAAAGGAGGTTTGAGATCTCAGTGTGCAGGCCAAAGAGTAGGAGCAGTACTGGCAAAGGGAAGGACCTGTGAGGGAGGAGGCAGGGAGAGGCACAGGAACTGAGCGCCCCAGGAGACCAGAGCCCAGCATTCAAGGGCGGCATGCAAAATGGGACTGAAGTGGCAGGTGAATCAGACCAGCAGGGCCTTGGAGGCCATGCTAATGAGATGCACACTTCAGAGAAGATCCCAGGATGTACTCTGTGGTGCTTGTTTGTTCCCCTGTATCTTCAGAGCTGTTTGTTTTTCATTCATGGGAGTGGCCAACTTTAAATAAAAGACTAGATAAATTAGGGGTAAGGGAACTTTAGCCCCCTCAAAGAGTAATTCACTCGTTATGAATGGGTTTATCATGTTTTCCACATGATTCTTAATTCTGCCTGTCTATAGTCCAGTTAATAGAGAGACCCCCTGGATTTTGGTGTTTGACCAGCTCTTACCATGGTGGCCTATTGACACTCTGACCACTCACAGGGTCTGGGGATATCTCCTTTGGTTTATTAAACAGCAGAGCTGACAAGCCCCTGGCAGGGCTCAACACAGAACCCCAGTAACTTTGGCCTCCTCCATACCTTTCAGCTTCTTTAAGTTTACGTTGCAGGTCATTAACCAGTACAGCACACTTTACATTAATTCGGCTGACATCGATAAAGTCTGAGACCCAAGGTGGTCAATATTAGTTATTTTAATAAAAAATTACCCAGCTGCCAGTTATTAACTATGATAAGAAAGCCTTGGAGTTTGTTTGTTAGATTCAGTTACTAAAGGCATAATGTTTTCAAAGAGAACAGAAGCAAAGACTCATTTGTAAATGATACTAGGAAAGTAGTATATTTATTCTTCTCTGAGTAGTTTGTATTCATTGCTACTACTCTTGCATCGATTATTACATAAAGATTTGCAAATGTATGTCTTCCTAATGTCTTTTTAAATGGCTACTCAAATCATGTAGTCAATAATGTCTTCTTTATTGTTGTCTTACCGTCTGTTTCTCAAAGTTGTCTCAGTCCTTATATCTACTGTCCTGTAAAGAAATACCTAGTTAAATCTCATTCCCTTTACTTAACATCCTGTTTATGTTACATTTATCTTGATGGGTAGCTGTAGATTGTTGGCTCACACTACTAAACAATATTTAGTTTTTTATAGATCCCAAATACTGCTGTTGACAATGGGCATTGTTCACTTTTTACTTTACTAGGTAGCTGCAGTAAGTACCATAGTAAACAGAGGGATAACGCCAAAAGCTTTTGTGTTCAGAAACTATGGTCATTTTCCTGGAATCAACTCGCACTACTTGGGAGGCTGTCAGTATAAAATGTGGCAGGCCATTAGAGCCTCATCTGCTGCTCCCGGCTACTTTGCAGAGTATGCATTGGGAAATGATCTTCACCAGGTAAGTTGACTGTTACCTACCTTTTGAAAGTTTGTGATTAAAGAATCAGCAATCATTAAATGTCACAGAGGGAGCAACCGAGATTTTCTTCTTGTTTACATGTGGCAAAAGATGTCCCATACAAATGTTTTTATTTGTCGTTTTTCTTAAATTAACAAGCCTTCTGTAAAGATTATTTTTGTATTTTATATAATGTGATTCATACCTAACTATGATTTTATTGATGGAAAACATAGTATGTAGGATTGGAAGTCCAAATGCAATAAAAATTAAAACACGGCCCTTGAAAACACAGAATGCAATCTGTTTGACAGTTGGGGTGGACATATTTTGAAGGAGATGATATAAGAAAATAATCACAGTAAACACTCATTAAGTTAGCTCTGTACTGGACACTTATACAGTCCTTTGTATGCATTGTCTCATTTAATCATCACTGCTTACAAATCAGATAGAGTTATTCCCACTTTTACAAATGAGGTATTGGAGTCTTGAGAAAGGTTAAATAACTAGAATAGGATCATGGCTGTTAAGGGACAGGCTTGGGATGCTACCTATAATTATACTGCTTCTAAGTTTATGGCTAAATGATACATAAAGTTGAATATTATTTCTGGCAGTTTATTCCTTTTTTGTTATGTATACTTATTTATCATAAAAATTTTTGTCGGTCAAGTTTTTCCATTATGAAATGTTAACTCATAACTTTACAGTAAATGATAAAAAAGTCATTGAAGCTTTTGACCTGATACTTCTAGAGTGTACGTTTTTATAGATGCTTAATTTTTATAATGCTGTCCCACTTAAAATCAGTCCATGCAATATAGCTATTAACCTTAACTGTCCTCTCTAGTCGGTGAGGTATTTGTGCTCTGTTTGGTATTTAAATATATGTTGAGAAGGAAACTATTTTGGCAGTGATTTTCAGATGTCATTCAAAAGCTCATACATAGATCTTCTATATGAACTACGTATCAGTTATATACTTCACATGTGTCGGTATTGTAATAGCTAAAACACTCTATCACTTTTATTGTCTCCTATATTTTTTCTTGTATGTTAGACTTATTTTTAAATATTATGGGCATCTATCCCATTTTTTCTGTATTCCTAGAAGTAATATCATAATCTTTGTAGTCATGAGATTAACCTAGGTTTCCTTTTGTCTTTGGAGTCAATTCAGACCATTTCTTACTTTGTCAGATCAGTCATTGTTCAATTATGTAAGGCACTTCCCCTTCTCGCCTTTCTCTTCTTTCTTCCACCTACTCAAGGCAGAAAGTGCTAGCTGTAGAGTTTTTCCTGACATAGATCTCAAGACTTACTGGTCAAATTAAAATTTTTATTTTAAAATGTACCTTCCTGTTTTGTTTTGTTTTGTTTTTAATTTTATTTGTTATAAACATATTTTTTTTCCCACCAGGGGTACAGGTCTGTGAATCGCCAGGTTTACACACTTCACAGCACTCACCATAACACATACCCTCCCCAATGTCCATAACCCCACCCCCCCTCCCAAGCCCCCTCCCCCCAGCAACCCTCAGTTTGTTTTGTGAGATTAAGAGTCACTTATGGTTTATCTCCCTCCCAATCCCATTTTGCTTCATTTACTCTTCTCCTACCCCCTTAACCCCCCATGTTGCATCTCCTCTCCCTCATATCAGGGAGATCATATGATAATTGTCTTTCTCCGATTAACTTATTTCGCTAAGCATGATACCCTCTAGTTCCATCCACGTCGTCGCAAATGGCAAGATTTCATTTCTTTTGATGGCTGCATGGTATTCCATTGTGTATATATACCACGTCTTCTTTATCCATTCGTCTGTTGATGGACATCAAGGTTCTTTCCAAAGTTTGGCTATTGTAGACATTGCTGCTATAAACATTCGGGTGCACGTGCCCCTTCGGATCACTACGTTTGTATCTTTAGGGTAAATACCCAGCAGTGCAATTGCTGGGTATTAGGGTAGTTCTATTTTCAACATTTTGAGGAACCTCCATGCTGTTTTCCAGAGTGGTTGCACCAGCTTGCATTCCCACCAACAGTGTAGGAGGGTTCCCCTTTCTCCGCATCCTCGCCAGCATCTGTCATTTCCTGACTTGTTAATTTTAGCCATTCTGACTGGTGTGAGGTGGTATCTCATTGTGGTTTTGATTTGTATTTCCCTGATGCCGAGTGATATGGAGCACTTTTTCATGTGTCTGTTGGCCATCTGGATGTCTTCTTTGCAGAAATGTCTGTTCATGTCTTCTGCCCATTTCTTGATTGGATTATTTGTTCTTTGAGTTTGAGTTTGCTAAGTTCTTTATAGATTCTGGACACTAGCCCTTTATCTGATATGTCGTTTGCAAATATCTTCTCCCATTCTGTCAGTTGTCTTTTGGTTTTGTGAACTGTTTCCTTTGCTGTGCAAAAGCTTTTGATCTTGATAAAATCCCAATAGTTCATTTTTGCCCTTGCTTCCCTTGCCTTTGGCGATGTTCCTAGGAAGATGTTGCTGTGGCTGAGGTGGAAGAGGTTGCTGCCTGTGTTCTCCTCAAGGATTTTGATGGATTCCTTTCTCACATTGAGGGCCTTCATCCATTTTGAGTTTATTTTCGTGTGTGGTGTAAGGAAATGATCCAATTTCATTTTTCTGCATGCGGCTGTCCAATTTTCCCAACACCATTTATTGAAGAGGCTGTCTTTTTTCCATTGGACATTCTTTCCTGCTTTGTCGAAGATTAATTGACCATAGAGTTGAGGGTCTATTTCTGGGCTCTCTATTCTGTTCCATTGATCTATGTGTCTGTTTTTGTGCCAGTACCATGCCATCTTGATGATGACAGCTTTGTAATAGAGCTTGAAGTCCGGAATTGTGATGCCACCAACTTTGGCTTTCTTTTTCAATATTCCTTTGGCTATTCGCGGTCTTTTCTGGTTCCATATAAATTATAGGATTATTTGTTCCATTTCTTTGAAAAAAATGGATGGTACTTTGATAGGAATTGCATGAAATGTGTAGATTGCTTTAGGTAGCATAGACATTTTCACAATATTTATTCTTCCAATCCAGGAGCATGGAACATTTTTCCATTTCTTTGTGTCTTCCTCAATTTCTTTCATGAGTACTTTATAGTTTTCTGTGTATAGATTCTTAGTCTCTTTGGTTAGGTTTATTCCTAGGTATCTTATAGTTTTGGGTGCAATTGTAAATGGGATGGACTCCTTAATTTCTCTTTCTTCTGTCTTGTTGTTGGTGTAGAGAAATGCGACTGATTTCTGTGCATTGATTTTATATCCTGACACTTTACTGAATTCCTGTACAAGTTCTAGCAGTTTTGGAGTGGAGTCTTTTGGGTTTTCCACATATAGTATCATATCATCTGCGAAGAGTGATAGTTTGACTTCTTCTTTGCCGATTTGGATGCCTTTAATTTCTTTTTGTTGTCTGATTGCTGAGGCTAGGACTTCTAATACTATGTTGAATAGCAGTGGTGATAACGGACATCCCTGCCGTGTTCCTGACCTTAGAGGAAAAGCTTTCAGTTTTTCTCCATTGAGAATGATATTTGCAATGGATTTTTCATAGATGGCTTTGATAATATTGAGGTATGTGCCCTCTATCCCTACACTTTGAAGAGTCTTGATCAGGAAGGGATGCTGTACTTTGTCAAAGGCTTTTTCAGCATCTATGGAGAGTATCATATGGTTCCTGTTCTTTCTTTTATTAATGTGTTGTATCACATTGATTGATTTGCGGATGTTGAACCAACCTTGCAGCCCTGGAATAAATCCCACTTGGTCGTGGTGAATAATCTTTTTAATGTACTGTTGAATCCTATTGGCTAGTATTTTGGTGAGAATTTTTGCATCTTTGTTCATCAAGGATATTGGTCTGTAGTTCTCTTTTTTGATGGGATCCTTGTCTGGTTTTGCAGTCAAGGTGATGCTGGCCTCATAAAATGAGTTTGGAAGTTTTCCTTCCATTTCTATTTTTTGGAACAGTTTCAGGAGAATAGGAATTAGTTCTTCTTTAAATGTTTGGTAGAATTCCCCCGGAAAGCCATCTGGCCCTGGGCTTTTGTTTGTTTGGAGGTTTTTGATGACTGTTTCAATCTCCTTACTGATTATGGGTCTGTTCAGGCTTTCTATTTCTTCCTGGTTCAGTTGTGGTAGTTTATATGTCTCTAGGAATGCATCCATTTCTTCCAGATTGTCAAATTTGTTGGCATAGAGTTGCTCATAATATGTTCTTATAATTGTCTGTATTTCTTTGGTGTTAGTTGTGATCTCTCTTCTTTCATTCATGATTTTATTTATTTGGGTCCTTTCTCTTTTCTTTTTGATAAGTCTGGTCAGGGGTTTATCAATCTTATTAATTCTTTCAAAAAACCAGCTCCTAGTTTCGTTGATTTGTTCTATTGTTTTTTGGGATTCTATTTCATTGATTTCTGCTCTGATCTTTATGATTTCTCTTCTCCTGCTGGATTTAGGGTTTCTTTCTTGTTCTTTCTCCAGCTCCATTAGGTGTAGGGTTAGGTTGTGTACCTGAGACCTTTCTTGTTTCTTGAGAAAGGCTTGTACCGCTATATATTTTCCTCTCAGAACTGCCTTTGTTGTGTCCCACAGTTTTTGAACCATTGTATTTTCATTATCATTTGTTTCCATGAATTTTTTCAATTCTTCTTTAATTTCCTGGTTGACCCATTCATTCTTTAGAAGGATGCTGTTTAGTCTCCATGTATTTGGGTTCTTTCCAAATTTCCTCTTGTGATTGAGTTCTAGCTTCAGAGCATTGTGGTCTGAAAATATGCAGTGAATGATCCCAATCTTTTGATACCGGTTGAGACCTGATTTAGGACCAAGGATGTGATCTATTCTGGAGAATGTTCCATGTGCACTAGAGAAGAATGTGTATTCTGTTGCTTTGGGATGAAATGTTCTGAATATATCTGTGATGTCCATCTGGTCCAGTGTGTCTTTTAAGGACTTTAATTCCTTGTTGATCTTTTGC